CTAATACAGTCTTTCAAGAACTAAAAAGGGGTGTGGCACCTGGGTGGCTCAGTCAGTTGAAGGATCGACTTATGTTCAGGTCACGATCTCCCGGTGAGTTCGAGCCCCACATCAGGATCGCTTCTGTAAGGCTTCAGCCCAGACCCCACTTCAGAGCCTCTGTCCTGTCTCTGCCCCTCCCTGGCTTGCGTTCTCCCAAAAATAAGTAAAAAACAAAAAAACAAAAACAAAAAAACCTAAAAACGGGTAATTTGGGCTAAGATGAATAAACTGGTAAGGTTGGAGGGAGGCAAAGGTTAGACAATGCTGGACATTATAGGTCACAGGAAGGATTTCGGTCTCTATGTGTTCTTAAAAGGCACATCTGTCTGATGTATGGAGAATGAATTTGAAGGCGGCAAGCACAGATACAGATGACCTGTTAGAAGGCTGTTTTGAGTACACGGAGAAGAGGATGGCTTAGCCACGATGGTGAAGCACGTAAGGACGCCAAAGCTCCTTAAGACGTTTAAAACGACTAAGACTTGATGTATCGGTGTGGGGATGAGAGACCGAGTTGTTGAGGATGATTCACCGGTTTCTGGCTTGGCCCACTGGATGGATGGAGGTAGTGAAGGGACCGCGTGGGGCGGACCTCAAAAGGAATTTGGCGCCAGCCGGTGTCGACCTCACCGTGCACCCTGTCGCCTCACCTCAGTTTCCCCAAGGATCATGGCCACACATCCCCCTTCGGCTTCCTCCGACGCGTCGTCTCTCAGCAGTCTCTTACTGATCAGCTGCTGTTCCCTCCGCGCCTTCCGCAGTGCTGGGGGCAAAGAAGCGGCTGAACGTAGGGGCTGCATCTAGGACTCTGAACCCCGTCTCCAACCCGGGAGCCTCCTTATCCTATCTCCGACCGCCATAGCCACCCCGCGCATCCTGCCGTCTCCCTTGCTCGCCAGCACCTGCCTCCCGCTCCCGTCGGCGGCACCGTAGCTCCTCTACCACGCAGCCCACCGGTCTGAGGCGACCCTGCCTTCCGCTCCACATGGTGGGCCTCGATAAAATTCGCCCAAAGCAGAAAGCCAGCGAAGCGCTCCACGAGCCGAAAAGATGGCACGCACCGCGCAACCGCAGCGCTGGCCGGAAAAGGAGGTGCGAGTGGGCGGAGCACGGCGCAAAGAGAAGGCGGGGAGGAGCTAGAAGGCGCAACCAGGCTGTGGAGCAGGGCGGGGACAGAGGTGGGTAAGGACCGATGGAGGGGCGGGGCGAAGGGAGAGTAGAATGGGGTGGGACAAGGGCAGGGAGGGGCGGAGCGAAAGCTAGAGGCGGAGTAGGACCTCTGCAGCCAGAAGCCTAAGCAAAGCCGAACAGCACGGTTTTTCTCCTTCCCAGTTCTAGGAAAGAAACTCAGCGTCGACTTGGACTGACAGTGCCTCACCTTCCGCTCGGCAAATACAACCTCCCCATACCTAACACATCCTAGACGAACATTCAAAACTACCCCGACCTCTAGGAAGATTTCACCAATAACTCGGCTCTCACTGATGAACGCTGGATTCGCATTACTTTATTGAATTGTTCTCCATCATGAGTTATCCCCAGTACACACGTATAAAGAAAATGAGACAAATATAATTATTTCCCTGTTCTAAATAAAAGTAATTCTTTTTTAATGTATATTTACTTTTGAGAGAGAGAGAGCGTGTTACGGAGAGGGGCAGAGAAAGAGAGAAAAGGAGACAGAATCTGAAGGAGGCTCCAGGCTCTGAGCTGTCAGCACAGAGCTGGAGGTGGGGCTGGAGCCCATGGACTGTGAGATCATGACGTGAGTCCAAGTCCCACGCTTAACCGACTGACCCACCGAGGCGCCCCTAGTAATTCTTTTTTTTAATATTTAATTGTTTTTTTAATGTTTATTTATTTTTGAAAGAGACAGAAAGAGCGAAGGAAAGGCAGAGAAAGAGGGAGAGAGAGAATCCCAAGCAGGCTCTGCGCTATCAGCAGAGCCCCACCCACTCAGGGCTAGATCCCAGGAACCATGAGATCAAGACCTGAGCCGAAATCAAGAGTAGAATGCAACTGAGCCAGCCAGGCGCCCGGGGGGGGGGG